CAAGCCTTACAACGGATTTAATGGCTGTTAACTCAAGACAAGACGCAGCAAGGACATCACCTTCATATAAATCTGTTAATAACAAATATTTTCCTTCAAGGATTACGGAAATGCATGTCTCTACCGACCATGGATGTCATCTGCCTGCTTTTCTTACTCCCGATACTGGACCTGTCACTCTTCTAATTGTAATTGCGATCAATCGCGCTGATCTTATCGAACTGAATTATGCAACTGCGCTCGCTTTCCTACCGAATAACTCTTTTGATTACGTAGTGTTCGATCATAGCTTCGGCACTCAACCAAAAATAACACAGACGATCAATGACACATGTAAAAAGCTCAACGTCAAATATATTCGAGTACCCAGATCACTAGAGAAGGGTGGACCATCAGCATCACACGGTGCAACTGTACAATGGATTCTTGAGAAACATGCGTTAAAACATAGTGGGCGCGTATGGTTTCTTGATGTTGACATGTTTTTCCTGAATGATTGGGTATGGGAAGAGGTTATGCCTTCAACAAAATATGATATTATGACCGTATGGCAACGTCGACCACTTCACCACGTACCCGGTCCATACATCTTCTATCTATGGCCTAACTTCTTTGTGTTTCGGGACATTCAAACTATTCCCAATATATCAAATTTGAGATGGAGAGGCGCTAATATTAACGGACAGAGTCTAGATTCAGGAGGAGAAACCTATTTTTGGATTAATGCTCATCCGAAAGTTCGTATTAAAGGTATTTGGCAAACACCGTACGGTATAGATGGTGACCTCAAAGGTTATCAGACCCAATATCATCGTCAAACACCGCAAATGATCGAAAAGATTCATAAAAACCCAGATCTTTTTCAATTAATTTGGCCAAAAGATCCAAACATAGCAAAAACTTACGACCATGGCATCATAGGTGACTTTCACATTCTACACTATAGAGCTGCCAGTAATTGGAACCACGCAAGTCATAGTTTTGCGATCGAGAAATGGAACAGAATTAAAGGTGCAATTATGAAGGCTTTAAGTGACAAAAAAAGTCAAAATGATCAAGAGCTTGAGGATTATCGAAAATGTCAGCAACAGAAAGAGACTAACACTTTCAACAATAAAACAAAGCGCGGACATTCCGACCTGACAAGCAAAAACAAGTTATTCTAGTGTTCATTCCGTTAAGTAGCTGAGATGATCTTTGTGTTGCAAGGAACGGTCATCAGACGTTAATTCATTGGATCCTAAACTGATGATGTTTAGTATTTGTAGATGGACGCATATTTCAAGTTTTTTTTTTTTTTTTTTTTTTTTTTTATTATGCTAGGTAGAAAGTTAATGCCCGTAGGCCTTTTAAGACATACATGTAAGATTTTCTTGGGGAAAGCATTAATGGAGGACGAAAAGACAGAGATATAAAACAAACGGAGAGAAGTAAAACTAGCAACTAAGATAAGACGAAGGAAGAAACTATAGAAAAAAAAAGAAAACGAGAACAAAATATAGAAACAAAAACAGAAAACCATAAAATAAAGAAATAGACAATCCACGAACAAACAAACACAATCTGAGGCCGACCGCAACTAGCTCCCCAGAGACCGAAGGAGATGACTCGGGGCAAGAGGAGGCAGAAAAGGAGGGAACCAAGGACAGGAGATATAACCAAAAAATGAGACATCACACAAACAAACAAACAAAACAAACAGACAGACAAGTACAACAAAAGAACAAACATGCAGAACCGACCAGTAAACAGACAAGACGAGACATAATACGACGGTCAAGATGAGAACTGCCCGAAAGGGAAATGATGAGGGTTATAGGCTGGTGGAGGACGGTCGTTATCCTGTCCACAGCTGCTTTCATGATTCGATCGTCGGGAGCGAGTAGGGTGTGGGTCAGAAGGTGCCATCATGTATGTAAGAGCTGGGTGCTCATCGTTCGAGGGTTACCAACCACTGTGTGAGACAAGGTTACTATCCGTGTGATGTTACAAGAAGGAATGCGGAAACACTGCAAGCAGCTTCAGCTCGTTTTCAGGGATGAAGGGGACCGATGACTCATTGCTGCTATCGAGCCAAGACAAACACCTCCGTATGATCGACGTATGGGGAATGATCCGTTTATTTCTGCGTACATATTTGACCACATACTGTTTGTCAAGCCATTGCTCACGGAACGCGTTGAGTGCTAATTGTTCATATAGGAGAACACCATCTACAGTTTTGCTAAGGACTTTCTTATATCTTGTCCAATACCGATAACATAAGTTTTCGAGAGATCGTTCTTCGTATATTATTGTGAAGAGAAGGTTATTCCAATAGGGCACCCCTATCACTTTTTTTAGGCAAGTGTAGTAGAAATGACTTAAGTCCTCTCGTTGACACTCCGTGAATAGTGGGAAGATGCTATGGAGCCAATTAAATAGTGGTAATACGAACGTAGAGAAGAGTACTCTCCTGAACTCAGCAGATGACGCTCCATACATCCTACATGATCTCACGATGGCTACTCGTTGCCTGATCCTATTCTTGTAACTGGTGATCATTTTGTTCCATCCTAGTTTGTTAGAGATATAGTATCCGAGATATCTGAAATTTTTAACCCAGGCGATATGATGGTCACCCATCTTTACTTCAAATTTCGGATTACCAATCGCACGCGCCGTCCAGAGTATCTCGGTTTTGTCGTAGTTTATGGGTTGGACCGACAGTACTGAGTAGTATTCAAGAAATTCGAATAGTTTTTTCAGTTTCCTTTCTAGGTCTAAACATTGTTGTGTATATTTTGCTCCCATCATCCCGCCTAGTACACAAGCTAGATCATCTGCGAAGAAGTTAGGGAGGGTGTTTTCCAGAAAGGTCCACATATCACTGTGGTATGAGATGAAAATAGCTGGCGTAAGACATGAGCCTTGCGGTCCTCCCTTTAGGATCTGAAAGGATCGGGAGCGTCTATCTTTCATTTCGATGAACCCTACTCTATCTTTTAGCCAGCTTTCAATCCAGAGGACGTATGCTTTGGGGATACCAAGTCTTTCTAGCTTTCCTAGACAACCTTTCCACCATAGCTGGTCGAAGGCTTGTTTGAAATCAACGAAGACTGTCGCGACGGGTGCGCTGGTGCTCATTAATGTAGAGATCTGATCGATAAGTACTAGGACCCGAGTCTGCAGTCTGAAGTTAGAACGAAATCCCGATTGGGAATCGTGCAATATCCCCCTATTTTGTAATACTTTTTGGAAGCGATTCAAGAATAGTCTCTCAAGCACTTTCAAGAATATATCTAGTAAGGAGATAGGTCGTGTGTCGACTATAGAGCAAATCCTCTCTTTTTTTGCTAATAGTTTCATCTTTACGTGTTTCCAGTATGAGGGTCCTGAATATGTTGAGAGAGAGCTGTTGAATATTTGCAACAGTGGGCCCCAGTAGTTTATCGGGATGCATCGGAGCATATATTGTGATATGCCATGAGCATCGCTTGAGTGCTTTTTCTTGCCTTTGGCTACCGTTTTTAGTAGTTCCTGGATGGTAATTGGAGGAATCGGGTCATTGTAGTTATCCCATTGAATTTCCGGACCGTCCACATACGGATGAGGGCGGTAGACCTGTGATTCTATGAATAAATTTTCATAGTGTGTCGCCGCTATATCGAGCATATCATCTACATTTTTTATGACCGTCCTATCGTTATCGATCAGGGCATCCAAGGGTGTGGTCTTTTTAAAACTTTTTTGCAAGTTAGACCAAAAGGTCGCGGATGAAGGAGAGGACGAGCATCTCTCATTCATTGCTTTCGTCATTTTATTTGAACGTAATGCTACTAATTCAGCTCTGTGGGTTCTTCTAAGTTCCTTTATTTTCGTAAGCAGCCGCACGTCTCCGGTTCGTTTATGCTGAAATGATAGGGCTCGTGTGTAGGCTAGTTTCGCTCTTAATGTTATCGGAATAGCTGGTCGGTACTTGTTAATTGGGAAGTACGTAGTACAACGGGCTTTTAGACTGTCTAATAAGGTGATGAAGTTTCTATAGTATTCCTCAGCAGTGCTCATTTTACTTTCCTTTTCCCAGTATTCTACAGTAAGCGCTAGGAAGTTGTTAAAGACAATCCAGTGCGTGTTGCTACCGATCTTGTTTTCGTTTCTCAAACCATCTATGCTGCCGATAACTGGCTTATGGTCGCTAGTAGTGTTATCGGTGCATGTTTGTAACGTGAGTGGGAGACCACTTGTTAGGGCATAGTCAATGATTCTTTCAGAACGTAGGGAGGTTGCTGTAGCTGGAATGACAGGGGCTAGTATTCTTGACTCAGCCCAGTCTAATAGACCATTTGCTTCTTTCTTGTCGGACGGGTCATCCAAGTCAATGTTAAAATCTCCCATTATTATACATTTATCTGTTGTGAAATGGGACAGTGCGTCCCAGCTCCAAGATTTGCTCCTGGGGGCATATACTCCCATGAGACGGATAGTTCTTTCCAACGTGATGTCAACTATACACAAGTTGGGGGTCTCGCATTTAACTCTTACCACCGGTATGCTGGTTCTAAAGAGCATCAAAACTCCTCCCCAGTTGTTCTCACCTTTCTGATAGAACTGTTTGAAATTGAAAAATATTTTTTGGATCATCTCATATTCGATTGCCCCTATTTCTGTTAGGATTATACAGTCGACTTTGTATTTCTCACTGAGCAGTAGGACCTCCCCCCACCTTTCTTCTAAACCCCGTACATTGAACAGCAGTATATGCATCTGTTCTGCTGGAAAGTATAAGCAAGTCTGTTGCGTCGATTTCCAGTGTGAAAGGCAGGCTGTAAGAGTGGGGAAGCTATACCATTCGGAGACTATTTCAGATAAAAGCTTGAAGTCGTGTTGTGTCAGTAGTGTGGCAGCTGTGGACAGGGCATATTCCACATCAAAGCCTTCATTATTTTCTTTATGAGCTCTCGGTGTGTTACAGAAAGGAGGAGCCAAAGGTGAAAGATTAGATTCAGATACGACCTGGATTATTGAAGATTAGTTATTGCGGAGTCATTGGCGTTGTGGCAGTTGGAGGGGTCTGTTGATGTGTTTTGATACAGGTTGTTGAAATCCTTGGTAAGTTGAGCCTTGATACTTTCATTTTGGGTAAAACGGTTAGTCCATATCGGTAGTTCATTGGTGAGTTTTTCACTCATCGCTGTAAGTGAGGAGTGTGTTAAGGATTTGTCGTTGATGATCTTCTTTTTCACTAATGCTGGAATAACATCGACCATAGTTTGGCATAGTGGTGTAATAAATTGGCTAACAAATTCCTTGAGAAATATAACATCATATTGTTGTAAATTCAGCTCATGTTCATGTTTAGATACAACTTGCTGGATACGAGTATGTTGATCTAAGAAACTATTATTTAATTCAAGGATTTTGTCAAAGCTTACTTGCAATTCGTTCATCTTGTTCTTCATTTCATCTATTTGTTTATCATAATCATTCTGATTAACATTATTGGGATGAAAATTAATTTGTCGATAATTATCTTGATAATTGTCTTGACCTTGGTTTTGGTAGCCGTTGAGCACCGGAAAATCACGATCGTTAAACCAATAATTATTTAATTTGTTCTGTTGTTGAGCAAGACGTGGATCAGGTCTTGTTAATAATGATTTGGTGAGAATCGCTCGATAAGATTTGACCTCCGGACACCTATTATCATTTGATTCATGATCACCACTACATCTTACACAGCATCGTTTGGTGGTGCATTCGAGTTTGTGTTGATTTATATCAGCAACTTCCGATCCACACACTCTACATGTGTCGAGTTTGTTGTTGCATGTTCGACGGAAGTGTCCAAGTTTAAAACATTTAGTACATATTAATACTTTGGCCGGAGCCAAGTATTCAACAACTGTTAAACGTACATTATTGACATACATATATTTTTTAATCAATAATTCATTAATAGTGTTGATACATTTAATGTCCAAACGAACTAATGTTGTAGGTGATTTATTTCTGTTGAAAATACGTAGAGCATTGACAACTGAGGGATAATCTTGTTTAATATCATCGATTAATTCATTGACATTTTTTTCTAATGGTACATTTCGAATTAATATGGAAAATTGAGGAGGAAGATGAGTTGGTGCAATTTTATCATATACCAAGGAATTTATTGTTGTTGGCCATTTTGTATCATCATACAGTACGGCAAATGAATCACGATCATCGACAAAGATCAATAATTCTTTTTTTTTCTTTAATCGATGTCCAGCCAATCTTAAATTAACATTATAGGTGGAGCCATAATGATTCATTATATATTTAATTGTTATTGATTCATCAACCTCTTCGTTAAATTTTATAATGAATGGGGGAAACGGGTATCTTGTTTCTGCATAACGACGTGCATCAACTGAAATTTCACTTGATGTACATATTGTAGTTGTTTTGTTTCTTATTTCTTGATTGTGATGGACCTGTGATGAATGAGATGGTGCAGCACTTGGAAGAATACTATTAGTATTTGATGATGATGTTGATGCATCTGTGTTGATACAGTCTGATGATGTTGTTGAAGTTGTTGAAGATGAGATTGATGGAGGTAATTTAGGTTGTAAATGATCGGTTTTTACTTTCTTTTTTTTACGTGATACAAGAGTAAAATTATCGTCGTTTTCACTCTCCATTGGTGTTGCATTTGGTAGTGGTAAGAGTTGGTTTATTTTCTGTTGATTAGTATTACGTTGTACCTGATGTTGGTTGAAGGAGTTGTTGGATGCGTTGTTCGTTTGATTGGTTGTCACTGCTTGTTGTTGCTGATGATTGTGTAATGTTGGTATATGTTGATGTTGTTGAGAACGTGTACCAAATGGATAATTCATTAATGGTTGTGGATATATATTGTTGTTGTTGTAGTTGTTGAATTTAGAACATGTTTGGTTCAGTTGATACACTAATGAATTAGCAGATAGATGTTGTTGTGGTTGATTGTGTTGATTCGATTGATCAGCACAGGAGTTGGATGTGTAGTGATCGAAGCTGGTTGTGTTGTTCTGTTGAAGTTGTTGAGATGCTAGTTGGGGGTACTGGGGTTGTGCATGACTATCATTCCGATAGACACTCATCTTATCGGCTGAGCCGAAAGATCTTGATCTTACTAGGATGTTTGACCTAAGCTGATGATAGTTATGTCAGTAGGTGTTGAAGGCGTGGGAGAGAAAAAAAAATATATATATGTATATATATATGTGTACACTATGTAAACAAAGATGATAGCACGAAGAAAAAACACGTCTTATTCGTACTAGTGAAAATGAGTGAATGATATTCTCTTTTATTTCTTTCGATTACTCTCTCATAAAACAACAAAAAACAAATTAACGAAGAAAAAAGCATAAAAGAATGTCTTTCTCTCCTTCTCTCGTCTTTCATGACATACCTCTTGTTTATTTTCAGAGCAAAAAAGAGATATCATGGAGCGACGAGGAAGAATGCCATTAATGAGAGCTGTAGTATAATAGAGAGAGCCCTCTTATATCAGGAGATGTCTTTCCTGACATAACAATCTAAATCATTGATAAATGCTGTTTCATGAGCAACACTCAAAAAAA